AAACTGGTTTAGAGTATTGAGCATAATATACAAAGAGGAAAGCTTTAGAATCTGTGTTTTTCTGGCCAAGTTTCTCAGTTCAAAAAGGAGTTAGAAAGCATGTTATCTTGAGCTAATTTGATAACATGGGCCCTTCTTTAAGCCGATCCTTTTCTTTTGGGGCTTGGTGGGGACCTACATCAGCTCTCTTTTCTCAAAGAACAGGAACCAAGAAAATGTGCTCTTAAAAGGAACTGAAGGCTGCAGGGCTATGCACAGGTAGGGAGGAATGTAGAATTCCTTCAGTAATAAGATGGCCAAAGAGTCCTGGGGATGAAGAAACAATCCTTCCCTAAGGCATTAGATTTGTCACTAGGCGACAAATAAGATATGGTTACTTCCAGCTGGCCCAAAATGCAGCTCCCAGCAGGAAAGTGCTTGCTTAAAAATTGCCTTTCAAAAGTCTAACCTCTAGACAATGTTAGTAGTGTTCAATATATCCTATAATTTTCATCTTATAATTTACACACACACATACACACATGTATGGTTTACATTATTGTGTGGCATTTTAAGTGCATGCCCAATTTGATAATTCTATATAAAAACCAATGCTAATCATTATTAGCCTTATAAAATTACAACATCATGCTATTTTCATTACCAAAAAAAGCATATGTAATAGCCAAGATCCAAAACACTGACAATAACAAGTGCCTGGGAGGATATGGAACTTCCATCCATTGCTGGTAAATATACCAAATGGTACATCCACTGTGGAAGATAGTTTCTTACAAAACTAAATGTACTCTTACTAAACAACCCAGCAATTGCACTCCTAGGTATTTACTCAAATGGGTCAAAAACTTATGTCCATATAAAAACCTGCACGTGAATGTTTAAAGCCGCTTTATTCATAATTGCCAAAGTAACCAAGATGTTCTTCAACAGGTGAATAAACAAGCTGTAGTGCATCCATAAAATGGAGTATTATGCATTGATTATGAGAAAAAAGCTATCAAGTCACAAAAAGACATGAAGGAAACTTAAATGCATATCAGTAAGTGAAACAAATTAGTCTGAAAAGTCTGCATATGATATGATTGCAGCTACTTAATGTAGGATACCAACTATATGACATCTTGGAAGTGGCAAAATCACAGAGACAGTAAAAAAGATCAGTGGTTGCTAAGATTGGGGGTAGGAGGAAGGGATGAACAGGCAGAGCACAGAAGATTTTTAGGTTAGTAAAACTATTTTGTGTGAGGCTGTAGTGGGATGCATGATATTATGCAGTTTTCAAAACCCACAGAACTATACGATACACACAGTACACCCTAATATAAACTATGGACTTTAGTTAATAATAATGTATTAGTATCAGTTCACCAATTATAACAAACATACTAAATTAATGCAAGAGGTTTAATGATTGAAGACACTCTGTAGGAGGAGGGATATGGGAACTCTTTGTACTCTCTGCTTAATTTGTTTGTAAACCTAAAACTGTTCTAAAAACTGAAATCTAATTAAAAAAATATGTAGGTAAGATTAATGCCAGCACTGGAAGCATTTTTTCTAATTTGTAATATATTGACAAAATAGTTGTTAAACTAAACTAATAACTATGTATCTGTTGCTCCTGTATCATGAAACTTAAAATTCTTTAGCTATTTAGCTATATTCCGAAAGATACTTAATACACATTGTCCTACAGAGCTGAATTAATAAGCCATCCTGTAATATGGATGTATGAAGAATTTTTTCCAATTCTTTCTCTAAATGAAATGTTCATATTTTGATATAGCCCTCATTTTCATTGATTTTCAATATAGTTTTGTTTAACAGAAAACATAATAAATATTTTGCATATATTGTTATGTAACTGAATAGAGAAGTTGCTACCTGCTGTAAGATGATTCCTTTTGGCTACTGAAAGCCTCGTGCAGTATTTAGCAAACTTCAGTATGTGAGGGAATCAACTGGGGATCGTTCTGAAACTCAGATTCTGATTTAGCTCATTTGAGGTGACACCTGGTCATCTGCATTTCCAACAAGCTTTCAGGCAATGCAAATGCATGACCACAATTTGAGTAGCAAGGTTCTAGATCATAGTTGGCCCATAAAACTACTACCACTATGAAACACAAACCCAAATCCCTAGAAGCTCTTGCAAGGGAACAAAAAGCTGCTTTTCTGCATCTCCCACCTAGAAAAGCTCTCAGGGCTTCCAGCACTTCTAAATTTGCTTTCTCAATATATAATCCTTTTCAATTTTATCTATAAAGAGGAAGGCTTGATAGCCTTTGTAAGCTACCCATTTAGTCATAATACTCTCCAAGCTTGTATGAACCAAAGATCATTTATTTCTAGTTCAATTCCTCTATTTATATGTCTTCAATCACAGAAAGGTCAAGGGACTGACTCAAGGTCACTTACCCAATAATTTAAAGGTAGATCTCAAATCCAGGTCTCGGAATTGATTCCAAGTCCAGACCCTTTCCCTCCATTCTCTCCTGCTTCTAATAATGATGCACTTCAGAGAATAGGGACCAGTTTGTTTAGACCACAAAATCCCTGTTCTAAATTGAAACCCTCAGCGTCTGGCTTCCCGCTGTAATTTCTAACATGGGTTTAGCATCTTATAGGAGACCAAGTGTAGTAAGGAGACTTTCTTTGTACTTCAAAATAAGCCTTGAAATTCAACACAATTATGTGGATTAATGAGCTTATTTAATATGGTGTAAGGTATGAGAGAAAAGACTTGGATGTTCCACTGTGAAGAATGTGGACAAGAATGATTCATTCTATTTTTCCAAACTTGATGGTTCTCTTGACAGAATTCATAGCCAACCACATTGGAAGTCAAAGGCAGGCAGGCACTACCCAGTACCAGCTGTACAGAGCAACCTCGCTTATACTGGGACAAACAAATGGTGACTTACTGGTTTCAGAGGGACTTTAAGGCTACTAAAGATAACTGAAACTAAACATTTCTTCACAATATGAAGAAAACAAAGCTCAGACATGTAAAAGGAATTTTGTGCCACTGTACCGGGATTACTCATTGAAACTTAGATTTGGAGTTTCCCAACCTCTGGTTTAAGGATCAACCCAACTGCACACTGACATCAGCAGTAGGTTAGGGGAGGTGGGCTGAATAAATATGAAATATGACATGTCTACACATGCCTCCCAAAGGACAGTACTTTATCCTCAATGTTATTTATCCTGATAAGTGTAACAAAATATGTCTACTTGTGATGATTTCTTCTTAGAAGTATGGTTCAACGTAAGTGCCAAATGAGTGGTGTGGGTCCTTAACCGCTGTAGGGGTTTAGGAAGCAAGAAGGGAGGCCACAGTGGACCATCAGCCATCAGGGAAGCTGTTACAAGGCTGCTTCATATATTCTGAGTCTTGAAGGAAGTGCAGGGTATTGATCAGGGGGAGGGGAACAGGGGAATGGTACGTGGCCCAGAGTGGGTAATGAGTATACGTAAGCCCTGAATAATGGGGTGACGATGATTAAGACCATGGTGTCAGGAATGAGTAAGGCAAAGGTGGATACTTCACTCAGAGCCAGATTTTCAACCACCAGTAAAAATTAAAGAGTGCCTCCTGGCTCTGACACTTTGGGGTCACTGTGTACTTTTCTGGAGACTTGCAATGGTCAGGAATTTGTGGAATTTCTGTTACAACAACAGACCTTGTTAAAATACCTAAACTGCTTACGGAGGGAGGGTACAGCTCAGTGGTAGAGCACATGCTTAGCATGCACAAGGTCCTGGGTTCAGTCCCTAATACCTCCTCCCCAAATAAACAAATAAGTAAATAAATAAGCCTAATTATCTCCCGCCTCCAACAACAACAACAACAACAACAAACCAAAGCAAAACAAAACAAAATAAACTGCTTTTGATTGTCTCTAAGAATTCAGATCACCAACAAGGAGCTGAGCAGCTATTAATTTTTCCCAGGCTGAGTTCAAGTCACCCCAAGGCTGATTCTCCCTTATTGTAGCAACATGGTTCAGCTTTCACACATGAAGATCTCAAAACGTCTCTGGAAAGACAGGGGTGGGAGCCCAGAATCTTGGCTGCCCTGACATTCACCTAATCACCTGAAGAGAATATTAGGAGTTTTACTTATTTACAAAGCTTTGTGATGTGGTGTCAGAGCAGCACCCAGAGGGAGTCAGTCTAGCTCCCACACTTGAGCCCCTCAACTCAGAGCTGCTTGCTCGGAGCACACACACCTACAGAGGAATCATCCCTTGAAATGAGAACAGAATATCCATAATGGGATGTTGTCCAGTGTTCAGAGGCAGGAACTGCACTCAAGGTTGTATCATCTTACGTTTCTCATTTTCTATGCTGCAAGGCACCAGGGCAGAGAAAGCAGAGTATACAAGGCAGATTCTTACTGTTAGAAAGCCATAGAAGGACAGTAAAGTTGAGCCATAGTTCTCAGAAGAAATCATCACAAGTGGACATATTCTGTGTAACTGAAGGATACATGAGAATGAGGATAAAAGAGAGAAGTGAAGAAAACACATTTGTTGAACTTGCAGATTTTCACACTGAACATGCAAACACGTAAGGAGGAAACAGGAAACAGGCTTGTACGAAGGACAGAGTGGGCAGTTTTCTTCTCTGGGTATCATTTCAGAACTTAACAGAATAACATCTAGAAAGCTTGAAGAATAGCTTCCGAACAAGTGCAAAAGAAAGAGAAATACCAGTTTAATATAAAACACAAAACTCTGATATACGGCTATATAACAATGAAAAGGACCAATGCAAGACTGCTACCCCCTCATGCCACTGGGAGGATTGAAACACAGTCCAGAAGTCCTAAGCAGGGGATGTGGTGTGCTCAGTGGGAGAGAAGGAGCACGAGCCAACAGTCAGGCCTCTTTGCTGCTCGAAGTTTCTATCATTCTACTACAAACAAGAATGATGATGACTTGTATACTGTGCAATCAATGATAATCAAAACACAATGACCGTGGATGACTTACTGTGCTGACAGTGAATCCCATTAAATCCTCGGGGACATTTACAGACATAGCCTATGAATGTATCCCCTCGGTACGCCTCGCTTATTTCACAGGTTCCTCCATTATGGCATGGATTAGGACTGCAGGGACCTGCAAGACAGAAAAAAATATTGCTGCCATGATGCATATGGTTTACAATAGACATTGGGTCAAACTTTTACAATTAATAATTTTATAGGGAAAAAAACACCTTGGATAGTAGTGGTTCAGGAAATGCAGTAGTTGTGCGAGCTTTGGAAACCAACAGCTTGGGTTTGAATCCTAGTTTCATCACTTTCTAGCCATGTGGTCTTAGATGATTTATTTAACCTCTCTGTACCTTAGTCTTATCTGTAAAATGTCAGTCCTCAATCTACCTCAAAGGCTAAAGATGCAGATAAAAACAATTCATATGTTGAAAATCCCAGAAGCAACACATATTAAACACTCAAAATGTATTAGCACAAGGTAAAATATTGTTATTAAGATCTCTGAATAATAAAATATCTTCTGCTTATTTAAAAAGCAATACTGAATGGCAATTTCTAGAATTATGAACACTGAAGAGCTTTCGTAGTCTGCTGGTGAAAGTAACATAAACTTGCAAATTACTGTAAACACATTTTTTAGTAGATTTAGCAGCTATTTAGAAGTAGATAGTGGGTTGTAATACTTCTATCGACTCCTTATGAGTTTGTGGTGGGCCATACTTCTGGAGAAGCACAGTTGTTGCTGATGTATTGCAAGCAGCTCATGGAAAATTGCAAATAAACAGAGAAGAGGTGCTGAGAGTTATTTTTAAGCTTCAAGAAAGAAACTTCACTAGGATAACTGGTACTGGTGACAGTCAACAGAAGTGCTCCACCTCCCTTGGAGAGAACCAGGTGCCAACACAGTGCGGGTGCAGGGCTGGGCCAGTCCTGCCTGACCTGGGAGTCCTATAATGTACATTCCACATTCTTTACTCTGAGGTGCCCCTTTGGTATGGCTTCTTCTTTGCAATATTCTTCCTTCAAAGTTGACAGGCTTGTGTCACAGTCTGAAGGCTCATCCTACCTACTCTTGCTCTATCTCGCCTTTGTCCATCACAGTCATTCCCCTCAATACAACATTTGGACCTCTAATTCTGTCATCTAATTGGCCTCCTGGAGGATGCTAATTAGCTTGGGGTAGAATCAAGACTGGCAATTACGAAGAAGGGAAGAGAAAATCTGATGGAAGAGAACGCTCTCCCTGGGAGATGAAGACAGACAGAGGAAAATATATAGTATTCTCTACTTTTGTCCTTCTATTAAATTCAAGAGACGAGAACACATTGAGGTAAAACAAACATCACTGCAGAAAAAGTTAAGATGTACATCTTAGAAAAGGAAAACAAGAGTGATTAAACTAAGTGTCTGACTCTCTATGTAGAGATGAATCCCAGAGTCCTGGAGGCAGGTTAGCCAAGAAGAGGAGCAAGTAGCTTTAGCAGAGGCTGGAGAGAAGGCTGAAGTGTTGGGCACAAGAACAGTGATAACCTGAGGGAACTGGCTGGGGCTCCATCAGGAAAGTCAATTAAGAGAGGGCGATAGTGAATGGCTACTCAAGTGTGGGTCAAAGCCACTTTATGACTTAATAAGAAAAGAGCAAATTCACCATCATCACGAAGTCAACACAGGAAGCACTTAGGGGTTAGGCAATGCTGTCCTGCACAGAGGCAAGACTTTATAATTCTATTACCTCCTCCAGCAGTTCTTTGACATTCAGTTTCTTTCAGTTTAAAACTTCCTGACATTCAACTGTTGCAGCACACAATAAAGATCTACATGCAGTAAGAAACAATGTAGCAGCTCTGGTGTCTGGATCTTCTCTTCTTGGTAGTGCTGACTTTCAAAAAGTGAAAAGCAATTAAATGTTTTCTGTGATTTTTTCCAGATATCTCCATACCAATTAAAAACAATACACTTACTCAAGTAGGCAGTTTTGTGTGGTGCAGTGCTTGAAAATGAAACTAACACCTGCCTTTGAGGTGGTATATTGACAAGAAGAAGGTCAACACCAAGGATCATTTTCTTCCATCATCAAGAAATGCAAACCATGCTACACAACCTTTCTCTTCTCTTCTTTCTCACTTTCTCTTCTTCCCCTCTCTCAAATTAATGAACATTCATGGTGCCTGACCATTTACAAATTCCTTTCACATAATTAATCTCATTTATTCTTCCCAGAAACTAGAGAAGGTAGTATTCACTGTCACTCTTTTACCTTTTTTAAAAACTAAAGGTTTGAGAGATTAGATACTATTTGTTAAATGAACATCTACAAGTGATGCATTTAGGTCTTGAGCTAAGAAGCTGTGGCTCTAAAACCTATACTCCTTACAGAACCAACCAATCAGAGAAAGGAGAATGAAACAAAAGTGATATTTGAGTTTTGACTCATCAGTTCACTCAAAATTAGAAAATACATGACTTAGATTTCTTTTTATTAACTGATAACTGACACCCAGGTATACAATTGCTAAACAAAAATATTAATAATGATAGCCAAAGAATTATATAATTTTAGATAAATAAGGAGTATTGGAGATCACCTAATCCAGTCTTTCAATTTTGCAGATGAGGAAACCAACTCAAAAAGAATTCAGTGATTTCTCAAAATGAAAACAAAAACAAAATCCTCACCTAATATGAGGAAAACTGGGCTTAAGGAATTCTCTCTAGGAGGAAAAATATTACTAAAACCAAAAATGATTAAGCTTTTTCTGACACCTCAAGAGAGTGACATAATTTTTATCAAAAAGAGAGTAAGTGTTTTTCCCCTCCACTTGCAGAGTCGGCTGGGTGATGGAGGGATAAAAACAATCGACAATCGACTGCAGTAGTAAGGTCTCTGCCAGTTCTTGGGGGCAGCTAAAGCCGAGATTGCGAGGAAGGTGGTCCATGGAAGTCACCCTGAAGAGCAGGAAGCAAACATGAGCTTGGAAGAGATGACTGTGTATTCAAGCCTACCGCCTCCCTGGAAAAGGAGAACTTGGTGAGAAGCTGAGGATGAGTTAGTGGCTCTACCTTAGAAGGGCAAGGACTTAGGAAGGGATGGGGACAGCCCGGGAGGGGAGATCTCACAAGCAGAGCTGAAAGTAAACTTCAGGGAGCGAGGGGGCTCAAGCAGTGTGCTGTAAAGCTGTAACATGGGAAGACAAGCAGCTAGTAAGAATTGGTGATGTCTAAAATTCAGGTTTGAGGAGGGAGGGTACAGCTCAGGGGTAGAGTGCATGCCTAGCATGCACAAGGTCCTGGGTACAATCCTCAGTACCTTCATTAAAGTAAGTAAATAAACAAAAACCTAATTACCTGCCCCTAAAATAAAGATAAGTCAATAAAAATTAAAAAAAAAAATTCAGGCTTAAGTTGTTTGCACGGCTGCAATGTTAATCTGTCTCTGCCAGAACATCCAGATCTACTCTCAAGCCTGCTGGACAGAGCTGGGTGTGGGATCTGGGGAGGTGAGGGAGAAACGGCTCTGCTATTCATCTCGTTCATCGGGGCAGAAGGGAAGAGTTGTCGCACAAGACGCCCGAGGGACTCAAGAATCCAGGGGAGGACGGAGCTGACAGATGTCTCGTCCTAGACACTCTAGATATTTCCTGAGGGCACAGGTGATGCCTGTCCAGCAGTCCTGGCCAGCCTCTGGGGTTCCCCAAAGAGATGAGTTAGAGAGTTGGAGCTCATTTTATTTATACCCTAGAAGACATCATGACCTCAGCCGACACCTGGGTTTCGGAAAAAGACTACGTGTTACAAAGGTTGTAGCTGCTGTTACTTTTCCTACTGTAAGAAATTCAGCGCTTTTCATTCACAGGGTGAGGATGAGGTAAGGCTAACAGGGTAAGGATTTAACCTTTCTAGAGTGCTTTATATGCTAAGCAAAAAAGTATACATAGTAGGCAAGAAAACAGGCTTGTTCACAAAGGTTAAGTAACATGTCTATCTGGAAAAACCAAAATTTTGCTTTAGTACCTTCTGCCTGACTACAAACCTAAGCCCTTTCCTCTAAGCTGCACTTTCTGCCACTTTACAGATCGGTGTATTAATATGTTAATCTTGACAGATGCATACAGAAGCCGCAGGGACTCACTAAGCACATTCCTATACATGATACAGGACTCCAAAGCCTTCCTAAATGGAAATATTTCAGAACATTTTCAGCAAATGGGCCAGAGTGTATTAGACATTATGAATACAGATGGCCTCTGCTACGCCAACGATACTCCACTTCAGCTATGTTCGAAATCAGCTGTCAGATACGTGTGTTTCCCTATTATTATTCTGTAATAACATATTTGGTATGTGTATACTGTTGCTTATACTGTGAGGATAAGAAATTGACCCTGTCCAACACAGAGATTCTTTTTTTTTTCTTTTTTTGTCCATAACAATTATGAAACTGATGTCACATGCCCTGTATATCCATGACAGAATGCTGAAATGGTCACCATTAGACCATTAATTCTCTGTGGTAAGAATCATGGTTGGCACACAGTAGGTTTCTGATATGTTTTTAATAAACAAGGGTATGGCAATAATGAGTGAGAATCATTATATCTTTTGCCTAAACCCCATTCAAGCTTATGAGGTTTATAAACTATCAATATCTTTTGGCATTTCAATTGGTAATTAATGAGGATACTTTCTATAACTTTTCCATACTTTTTAAGGTTCAATCCCTCTAAATTTATATATATTTTTTGTCTGTCAGATGGTTCAAGCTTCTGGAGTATTATATCTGTAATATTATAACTGTAAATAACAGATAATTAGAATGTTAGCTTTTACATAATGATTACATGTATTTTAATTCTTTGGCAAACAAATAATCAAGAAAAATATAATCCCATCAATAGTGTTTTGGTCTCCTAATTTAACAATTCCTATATAAATAAAGACATTCACTTAAAGCATCAGCAAGGTGAAATAATCTGAATATAAATTTGTACATAAAGATAAGATAATACACGTAGTCCAAAGTCTCAACTCACAAACTCTTCTTAGTAGTCAAAAAATTTTGTGTTTGGTGTTAAGTGTATCAGCAGTTTCCAGGTTTCTTTCTCTAAATGACAAGTGGGCTAA